GGAGGGGTGCCATGTGCAGGTATAGGTGATATAACATTGTTATATAGAGGTATGGAGGCCTAATATTGGGGATGGGTGTTATAGCCAGAGGTATGGTGGGTGGTATATAGAGATATATAATGGGGGAGGGTTGTTATACAAAGGTATGAGGAGTATAATATGGGGGAGGGGAGTAATACACAGGTATGAGGAGTATAATATGGGGGAGGGGAGTAATACACAGGTATGAGGAGTATAATATGGGGGAGGGGTGTTATACACAGGTAAGGGGAGTATAATATGGGGGAGGGGCGTAATACACAGGTAAGGGGAGTATAATATGGGGGAGGGGTGTTATACACAGGTAAGGGGAGTATAATATGGGGGAGGGGTGTTATAGACAGGTAATGATGGCATGATATGGGGGAGGAGTACTATAAAGAGGATGTGTGGGGTTATTTTAATAAATAGAGGTATGGGGGGCGGAGAGGGAGAGTCACGTGATATGGGCGGGTCCCGGGGGTCTCCCTCACTTACCCCTCTATATTATTCTCGTTCCCTCACTTCCAGGCGATGATTGGCTATCTAATCACGTGGTTCCCCGTGTTTAGGTCACTTCCCTTCGCTCCTTTCCGTGGAGTGGGAGGGGCGCCTATCGACGCCATCTCCTATCCTGCCCTGAGCCCCGCCCACATACCTATCTCTTGTTTGTGTGGCCGGCTGCCATGGAAACAGTGTAACAAGGCCCCGACCTGTTGTGTGCTTAACCCCTTCTTGGCTCTGTGCGGCCTAATCACTGCGGGAGATTCAGCGCCACAAACCCATTAACCCCTTCATCACCAGTGTAGTCTGCCACCCTAAGAAAACATGTGCATAGCATATCCCATAATACTCCTATTCCACTGCCTCTGCCCCCCGCCCTGCGTAACTGCACCCCCTCTTTCCCCTCACTGGTTACCTGCACCCCCACTTACCCTGCCCCCCTTCCTGGGTGCTGCGATACATTCAGGTTAATAGGAATATTTTCCAGGCAGCAGGAGGATTTCCTCTCCACATGTTCAACAGGTTTTTTGGCTTTACTGAAATTGCCTCATTGTTTACTGAGCTGTGTAGCTGTAGCTCAGATTACAGGCACAGCTGAATGAGTCAGACCAGTGACTCCACCCTGCTCCATACAGACATCCAATCAGAGATAGACAGTCTAAAGGTAAGGCTCTCCTGATCCCCAGAGACATGTCATGGTGATCCTCTGTATTAGAATATGTGTAAACATTTTTATGAATAGCAAAATAAAACAATGTAATGTTCTTCATTGTATCATCTGAATATAGAATGGGGCAGGGGGGGAGGATGGGACGAATAGTTGGTGGGGAGAACAGTGGACGGGTGGGAGAAGATGGGGGTCAGTAAGGAAATATGGGGGGTATTGAAGCAGTGGAGGGTTGGAAAAAAAGGGGGGGGTAAACAGGGGAGGGGGGGGGGGGGGGGGGGTCATGTGACTCTACTGAAGTCGGGCCAACGATGACATTTACGACCAACACTCTGTGATTGAACGTAGAAGAGGCATAACCTGTGTCTGGCGAGTCGGCAGTGGGGGCCCGCGATGGCCTCGTCTCTCGGCTCCTTATCCTAGGGAAGAGAGGGGACAGAAGGATGGCCACATCTGGGGACTCCAGTAGGGGGAGCAGCGCTCGCTGTGGGGGAGAAGAGGCCCCTACAGGGGACAGACGGGCAGGAAGTCTGGGACACCAGGGCTGCGGGGACAGGGCAAAGCAACGGGGAACCTCCAGGGCGGAGCCAAGTGGTAGTAGAGCAGGGGGCGGAGTCAGATTAGTTGAGAGCCGGAGGAAGAGCCTAGAAGGTTGTGGAGCACCAAACACTGGAGGTAAATGTGTCAAACAGGTCAGCACCAGGCACGCAGGGTGACAGAGGGTGGAGTCATGCCAAGGAGAGGTACATGCATGCAGAGAATGAGGAAGAGAAAGAGGTGGCCAGGAGGTCAGGGTCAAGGAAGCAAGGAAGCGCAGGGGGGGGGGGGGGGGGGGGGGGGGGGGGGGGGGCGGCCCCACCCCCCCCC